AAAATCAATGTTTATTTTAATTGGCAATAAATAAATCATAATACAGATTGATGACAGCTAATTAAATATTTGGAAAAATGTGGATAGCTGACGATTCATAGTAGCTAAAAGTTTTTCTTCATGAAACTTGTTGAGAAAAAAAAAATACAATTATAAATTTCTGCAGAGGTTCAAGCATGAAAGTCCAGGCCAAAGTCAAATGTAAACAACTTGGATCCCAGGCGTACTGGAAAATTTCAAACCAAATTCTCAATAGAAGCAAAGCATCAGTGCCTACTATCATAAATAGGCCTGAGGTAATGTTATCCTTGTCGGATAGGGCAAAGCTCTTTACTACAATCTTTGCCTGAAGTTCCTCACTATCTTCACAGAACGCAAACTTAATATTTCTATCACAACTCAGGAAGTCTCAAGACTTATGTAAAGTCTTGACCCTAAAGAAGGCTACCAGTCTTGACCCTAAAGAAGGCTACCAGTCCAGATAAAAAAAAAAAAAAATAATTGTGCTTAAGAATATTAATGCTGAATTATCCCTGATCTTAGCAAAGCTGTTTAACTGCAGCTTAGTGTGAGTACCAACAGGCTTTCAAGTTAAGGGACCCCTTGAGAAAATACTCATTCATTGCAATAGAAAAAATTCCAGGTTTGCTCAGTGATGATAGAATGTTACTAATTTGGATTTTGAGCTATTGAATGTGACCAACCAGTTCCCACCCCAATTCAGCTGTTAATGCAAAAGCAGAGAAGAAATCAGCTGCCAATCTCTAGTCATTTAGAATTTTGGAAGTGCACCCATACAGCGTTGTATCATCTGAATAGCTATCCTCAGAAGATCAACATATAATTGGATCACTAATGTAAAGCAGAAACAGTTGAGTCAAGAATTGAGCTGGGGGAAAGCAGGTCGCTTGCATTGATCTCATGGGCATCGGTGGACTGCCCATTAGGAATGGCTTGATAAATGACACTTCCAGTGATTCTATAACAGGAAAGTTTGTATAGCAACTCACTTTGGCAATGTTTATTGTTTTAAAAAGCAATGATTAGAATTGGAAAAACAAACATATGAAAGTGAATTTATACATTTTCTTTGTTCTTGAGAATAAATATAATAAACACTATTTATTTATTAGATTGTTTATTGAAACAGTTGGCAAAATGCTAATTGATTTGAATTTTATAAAAGCACTTCAATATGATGACTGATATTTGGGATTGAATGCAATTTTATTATAAACCATAAGTATATTTTATGACAGAAGTGAAGCAACTACCATTCACCAAAAAATATATCCGACTCAACTATAAAAAATGAACTAAAATATAATTTAACATTTGAGACTGATAAGATTTCTATGTGCCATGTCCCTTCAGGACACAGATGATCATGACTTTCCACAACTTTGTCTTTTATAGTCCTTAATAAATTTAGTCTTTTTGCTATATCTCCTAATCCTTGTACTGCCAACCATTTAAATAAGCTTGTTAGGTTATGCACCACTTTCCTCTGTCCTTCTTGCCTTCAGTATGTTCTGTGAGAGTCAAATTTTCCAAGTCCTCTTACCTCCTAATGTGCCTTACAATTAGCAAAACAAAAATAATTAAAAGATCAGGCCTACTTCCTTGAGATCTGAAACAGTTTGCATTAGTAACACTAAATGTCAGTTGGAAACAACATATATCCTATAAAGAACTATATAAAACCCTAACAAGGATTGCAGGTAGACAAAACCTGGAAAAGGCGAGTGCAGTTTAATGGTCAAAGTAAACAAGAAGTTGTGCACCTGCTTATAGGATGGGGTGCAAATTAGGAGATCAAGAGGTAGACTATTAAGTACCTTCATCAATCAACTCCAATCCCAAAGATGATGCCAGAATCAGTAAAGATCTGGGTAGAGTTATGAATTATAGAAACAGTTGGGAAGAAGTGGTCAGTAGTATTCATTTGAGCATGACCAGATAAGATAGAAATAAAACAAATATGTGTTGTGTTTAAAGTAGGTACCTACACTAATTTGCAATATGCAAGGTTTTAAATGAATTTTCATAAATGAAAATCTTTCTTGAAGTTTTTATTTTAGTTTTAATTTCAAGTTAATTTCCATTAAGCAAAATACTTGGTTCTATTTCAAAACTAATTTAAAAAGAGTTTTTTTTTTTTTTTTTGCTAAAAAATTTGAATTTAGTGACATTTTTAACCCACACTTATTGCAATGTAATTCTCTTTATTAAAAAATCTTCCAAAACTAAAATATACTTTTCTGAAACTTTCTTTCAGAAATATTAACTGATTTAAAGTATAATAAATCTGATTTGAAACAATTATTATTTACTTCAATTTTAAAATATCAGAGAAATGCATTTCTTAACCTGCCAATAGTAGTTTATTTAAAATGTTGGTGGGTTTGACAGATTGATATTTATCTAACGTAATTCTATGGTGGCTTTAGACATTAAAAATGTAACCAAATCAATGTAAGCTCCTTTATATATAATTTTTAAGTACTCACTAATCTTAAAAATTTAAAATATTCTCCATAATCTAAAGTTTTTATTGAATTTTAAATTAATTTACTATAGTTATCATTTTTATTTTCTGATAATGTTGTGTATGGTCATCCTTCTCATATAAAAAAAATAAAAAATTCTTTTAAAAATATTGGTGCTTGAGGATTTGTACTAAGATTTTCCATTTATTAGTAAATATGTTTTAATTTAATATCATCTAAAATGGCAAAATTAAACCAGAATTTAAAACTTAATTATTCTAATCAAAATTTATAAAAAAATGAAAACAATTCCTGTAAAAATTCATCATTCATCGAAAAAAAAAAAAAAAAAAAAAAACTTTTTAAAGACAATTGTGTACTTCATTTATCTTATTTATAAAAAAGCAATTAAAAGCTTTTCTAATTAGATAATGTCTTCGTTTTATTTCATTTTTTTTTATTTTACAATTCAGAGCAGATTTAAATAAATAAAAATTTATTTTTATTTAGGTTTTATTTTTTATAACTACTACAGTACATTCTTGCACAGAAGTAGAGCTTCTCATTTAGAAAAGACCATAAACATCTGAAAATACAATTTATAATGACAAATATTCAATCCTAAAAAAAAAAAAAAATCTTTTTTTAAATAAATAAAAAAATTAAATGGATATACTGATAATTGATTCTACTTTGGTTTTCTAAAGTTTGGTCATACCTAGAATTTGGGCTTAGTAAAAGAAATCTCCTGACGGTAATTCAATAAAACTAAAAGTGGTATATGGAAATCGTTTTACAGACTAAACTGGAAGATACTTATCATTTTTATCAAGCAGCATAGAGAGAGTAGACACTACATTATGGAAATTAATTTTCATCTATAACCCCAAGTTTATACATGTGAAATAAACTGATCGGTGCTGGAATATGCACTTAGTTTGCGTTTGCTTCTGACTACTTGTCTGAACTGAATTCTTCGCATATTTCTGTGACTGCACATACATTTAATCACGGACCACACTATTTAACTTGCGGCCATAAAAGTAAATCGTTCATGAAATTGGAAGAAAAGGATGAGGGGAGGGGAGGGTTGCAGTAACCGAAAAATTCTGGTTGCTACACTTTAAAAGCCTGAAAAAAATAGATTTAAAAAATTTGCTAAAGGAAATTTACTTTTGTTTAAATTCGGCTGTTGTTAATGTTAAGTTTAGAGTTTCAAAAGATTTCTTTATACACAAAAAAAGAAAAAAAAAACACGGATTTATTTTCATTACATTACATATTGCTCTTAATTTTTTAAAAACTAGACAGCCTTCTGTGCACTTGAAATTTGTGTAATAAATCCGGCTTTATCACGGTTGAAATTTTTTTTTTTTTTTAAGTCATTTGACTCGGTACTAGCACGAAATAAAACAATAGCATGGTGCTAAAATAAAAATCTACTTTAAATTCTTAGCAAGCTTGTCTTTTTAGGTTAATTACACCTGGGTAGTGAATTCGAGCCTCATTGGGTGCTCCATACTTTCAGCCTTGTGCCACATAAGTAAGTCGTTAAAGGAAATATACGTGTCAGAAAAGAAAAATAAGGATGTTTATTTTAAGAAAGGTATTTTTTTTTTTTTTTACTGTGGACTTCTTACAGGACGAAAAATATATGTAAATTGTTGGAATATACTCGTGCAGCATTTGTTTTGTTTTGTTTTTTTTTATCAATTTCAATTTTATTTTTAACTCAAGGAAAAACGCTAAAATATATTGCATTTTGTACGATATTTTAGGTTTTATCTCAGATGCGTGACTTTGCAAATCTAAAGCTCAGAATAAAAAGCTAATTCTTAAAATTTCAAGAATAGGAAAGTAAATACGTGTTAAAAAATAAACAGAAATTGTTTGAAATGCCGAACTTAATATCCCAGTGTCTTTTAAACTGTGGAAATGTTTTTTTATTATTATTATTTTAATTGTGGTGGGATCTTCAAATATTACCTAAAAAAACGGTAAAAATCATAAGGTTTAGAACTAGAGAGAGACTAAGGCGAGTTAGGCAATAATGTACAAAAAGAAACTCAACTATTTTCTTAGATATATAGTCTCTCAAGTAAGTATCTAACTTTTATTTTCTTTGAAAAAGTAAAATATTTCGTTGATCAAAACAATATTACTTTTAAACGCGCATAACAAAAGTTAAAATAAATCATTTTTATCCCGCACCTTTAAACCGGACTTGACATTAGGCAGGGTAATTGTTTCATGACGATATTTTATACTACAACCAAAAACATTAAATGTAACACATATATAACATTCGCGTGAAATAACAAAGATAATAAAATACTGGATTTGGTGCTGTTGCAACTAAATAATAATAATAATAAAAAGATTTAATTGCAGAGACACGTGTCTGAATGAGTTTCGGAATTGATCCGGTGTAGACGAAAAAAAGCAAGTCGAACTTTTGAAGACAAAACTACACACTTTTGTCGACAATAGATAAAAGAAAATTTTACTTACATTCCAGAACATTTGTATACAATAACATAAGGCACATATGCCAATGCAACACAATTTCCAAAATGAAATAAAGTCATTTTGTTGGCTATCGAAATTTTTCAGCTGTGCAAGATGTTACGGTGAAGACCGAAAAAGCCTACTTTTGATAAATATTGTATTGCCAAAAATGTCAAGATAAGATTTGTAATACATAAAATGTCAACGTTTTTAAAAATCAGGGTATATTTCTTTTTCGGAAATAAAAATTTTAAATTTTAGATAAAAGAGGTATATAAACGCATTAAATTTTAAACTATTTACTACAATAGACGGAACCTTTTTTAAAGGAAACAAGAATAAAAAATGTAACCGTTTTGCAGTCATTCGAAATTTTGAGAAAAATAAACATACATTATATTTTTAGTATAAGATATTTAATTTTTTTAAAATTTCGGTATATCTCCAATAAGAAGTAAAAAATAATTTTATAATAAAATAATAATAAAAAAAAAACAATTAGTGCGGTCTTCCAGTTCCTTAGCAACTGTTTCCAAGGGCAACAACTAAAAAAAGTTTGCCTCTTTCAAAAAGAAAAAAGTTTTGAAAATGTCTAAACATTTTAGTGCGAATCAGGTAAGCAGTTTGTTGTTTTAATTTCTAATTATTATGACAAGAGATTAGGAAAGAAAAATAATTATACTTAACTTATAAATATCCTTAGTGATGTTTATTTCATTGACAAATATTTTAGTTTCCCTAACTGGGGCAGTTATACACATGCAATACTCAGTCTAAAATGATGAAAAATGTTTATTTTATAAAAAAAATATTTATTTTTCAAAATGATCTCCCTTGTTAATGCACTTAATTTATTCAGTGGATATTAATCATGCAGATAAAATATTATACAGTGAAAATTTCAGATTTCTTCTTCTTTCATTATACTTGGTAACTTTCTTGAGATTTTGAACCAAACACTTTATTCAATCTATGGGGTTGGTTTGGTCTCATTCTACTTTCCCTGCTTATGTGATATTTCTTATCAGTTAATATTCATCATTCTTTTCTATCTTTTTGTTGCTTATCCATTTCTTACACTTAATAAGAATATGTCATTTTTCAGCACTGCCAAACCCAGAGATTGAACTCCCAACTATGAGGGAACCAGATATCTTTTAATCAACACTTTAATCCACAAGGTTAACATACAAATATAATTTTAATAGGAAGTTGAATGTATCTAGAGAAAATAATTAAATGAATATCTGTGGAATGAGGTATTCAATTGAGCGAGTAAAAATATTTATTGAAAAATGGCTATTGCATCTATCAAAAATACAATACAAAAATGCACTTAATTATAATGTACTTTTTGAACAAAGAAAATATGTTGCAAAGATAATGCAATGTAATATTCATAGCAATAAGTTGATGATGGCTGGATGGAATTGCTGTTGGCGCCATGGGCTTACTGGCTGTCTGCTTGGCCACAGATTGTTGTTTTTGTAATTATTTAGGCCTTTTTATATGCTATTCAAAAGAAAGGAATTCAGCACATGGATGAATTTATTACTTTTATATATATATATATATATATATATATATATATATATATATATATATATATTCATATAAAGAATAACAATTCAAAAGAGAGAAAATATACTTGTGTGTACACAGCTGAAAAAGAAGGAAAACAATTATAGGCTTTGTTGTTAGAAAATGTGTGCATGTGCATGTGAGGCTTCATGTAGCCAACTGAAATTAAGACGACAGCCTGCTGAGGGAAGAAATCTCCCTCAGTGAAGAGAAGTCCTGTTGTTTATGTGATTGCATTCCAATACAAAAGAGAGAAAGTGGATTTGTTGTTTCTTTCTTTTATAGTCCTGAAAAGTACCATCTAGCAGACACCTTGACAGACAAGATAGGAGTAATCCACACAGATTTTAGCAATAAACTGTGTTTCATTTTATTTTATATACTTTGCTGTCTAAATTTATTATACAACTGATATTTGGCTGTCTAAATTTATTATACAACTGATACACTTATAGAAAAATATGTTCAGGTTCCCTTATTAGTTTTGTTTAGATAATCTTATAAAACCTGTTTTTTAGTTAAAATGATGTATTTGAATAAGTATTTAAGACATAGAGTGGGGCAGTGAAGAGAACATTTTAAAAGGAAAAGTGGAAGAAAGGAGAAAGTTTTTTCCTTCTTTCTTTTTAATCATTTCACTGTAAGCAAGGTGATAATGCCACTAGGGGGTTACAGGGAGTGAAACAGAATGAGAAAACTATAGTGAGGAGAAGTATGGAAAAGAACAATAAAGGAACAGGATTTAGAAAGACAGAAAATGACAATTGATGTTGCATTTTAAATTTTGAAGATTGTTGTTGGCAAAGAAGCAAAAAATCAGAAGTGAGTTTCACAGGTGTTGGAATAGAACCTGGGCAATATCACTGTTCTAGAACCATTTTATTGATAATGTTGATTCATTAAGTTTAATCAAAGTTTACACAATTTTTCTTTGTCGTTTGTCTAATGCATTGTTCTTCATTTTCTGTGACAGTATGAAGGAGCTTTCAAATCAAGCCATTTGCAAAACTGGCAAGTTCCAAAAAGCAGAATTGAGGTAACTCTTTTACATTTTTCTCTATTTTTTCCCAATTTTTTTTTCTGCCTTGGAAGTATTTTGATGATCATTAACAGAAAGCCGCAGGGGAGTAATGGATAGCAGCTTGGTTTGAGGAATTGGAGAGCCAAGTTATAATTCCAGTTGAGTTTGTTATATTCACTTATGTGCAAAAACCCTTGGGAAAGGCATGAATTGATCTCTTCTCCCCACATCCAGCTATGGGTAAATAATAGGACAGACTGAGTCCTATAGCCTTGGGTGGCAGCTGGTCTAGGAGAAGGACAGCTCAGAATTCAAAACTTTCAACTATAGGTTAAATAGCATCACCGACCCACAATTGGTCAAGTGTAGTGAGTATGGCTACACACCTGAAGACATGATTAATCAGGGAGTGGTTCTTTCAACAGAAGGAGTGATTAAATTTGGATTTGGATAACAATGTTTCATATCATTTTTAAGGAATTAATGGATTTTAATTCCAATCTGCAATTCTTTCTTATTATTTTAATGTTATGCTTAGTACAGACATGTGTTTGAGTAGACACCCTATTTTTGATACAATCTAAATTACATCTACTAGCTTGTGCACTTAAGAGTTTTAATAAAGAAAGTGTACCAGAAGAAATTATTTCTATATTAAAACTCTCAAATTTACATTTTTTAAAAAACAGGGCATATCCTCAAATGCAAGTATCCACTAAATATAGATGTTTAAATGCTTGATATGTATGTAACTTATGTGATTTTGAGAAGAGGCATTAGCATTCCAGTTGTTCAGATAATTAAATCCATTCTTGATGTTAATTTTTTTTTTGTTAACACATTGTTTCATTTGACCAATTCTACAGCTTTCTTCAGCAGTAAGAAAATAGAATAATTGCCACAAAATAAGCAATGCAAAGAATGAGTTCAGTTGTCTGGATATCTCTTGAAATCGGAAAAATTAAGTTGTTGTGTCTTTTTCTCTCAGAATCATAAATTTTGTGATAATATATTAAATTATGCTTCATTGGCTGATCTCTTCTGCTGCCTTCTTCAGATGTACAAAGATACATTCTATAATTTTGAGAAAAGTCATTATCATTGTAAGAATTGTTCTAAATTATGAACTTCCTCTTTATGTCTCATTTGGGCTCATCCAGTCTACAGCCTTCTTTCAGATGTACAATCTGTAAAGAAAGAGAATGATCTGAACATGATGATGAACAGAAAAGAAATGAAAGCAAATACTAATCAATTCAGGTCATTATTAGCAATATGAGCCACCCAGACAATAACATTCTTAGCAATCAGTGTAATGCAGGAGATTCCATATATTTTTAAATGTGAGATATTGTTATATTCCCCCTTGTTATTCCCTTTTTCTTTTTGAGAGAGAACATCCCTAATGGAGAGCTGGGGTGCTCTCCTGTATAAACTGGAGAACATCTCTGCATATGAAAAATATAAACTCTCTTGTGTTGCATGGCTAATTGAGAATAGTATTATCTTGATGCCTCACATTGTTTGGAATAAACTGAACCAGTTACTATATTTACCACTATTTCTTTAAATTGGTATTAATCCAGATTTGTTGCTATTATTGTATAATGATGATATTATCTAGGCAAAGCAACCTGCAAATAATGTTTGCATGTCTATGAATAAATCATAAGCCACATTGTATATAATATGATTAGCACTTAAATATGGAATTTGGTGATTTAACATTGAATTTTGCAATTATTTTGCCTAAAAGTTGTTTTAATTTCAGTTTGTATACTTTACATTGAAAGTTAAGAAGAAGTGGATTGTGATTTGTCAAGAAATAATACAAGCATTACTGACAGAATAGGTTATTACAAATGTAGTGTTGTTTGGTTAGTGCTACTACTAATTAGCATATGTTTATAAGTAGACATTATGATTATGTATAGGCTGGCTACTTAAGGTAGAGGTAATAGTATTTGTCCTAGGGGGAACAGTGATAGACTGTTCTACCAAAGCTGTGACTGTTCGCAGGTCCTGTTGAATTCTCTGCCTTGGGCAGAAAGGAACCTGAACGAGGCTGTGCTGAAGGGCAGAGTTTTGTCCGGGGATGTAGACAAACCCGAACCTGTTTATGTGGGTTCTATGGGAATTTTTTGGCTGAGCCTATGCGCTCAGATGACCCACGTTAAACTCAACCTTGTGCCACATGTAACCTTTGTGGGGGAGCTGTTAAATATAATAGTATTTGTCCTACTCATACTGTTAACATCTCTCAGTTGTGTCTCTGTCTTTGGGCAGAGCACAGCTGAGAAAAATATTGAGAGGTGCCTGGTCCCAGGGAACAGTTTCCCGATGCAGTACCCCTTTTTTGCATTAAAAAGGTGGGTCAGTAGTAATACCAATGCCAGTGCCAGTGGAGTTGACAACTGCAAGGGCTGAGCAATTTTTGGCCCTAGTCCGGGTGTACACACCATGTCACTGTGGGGAAAT